AGTTGGTTAGGCCACAGATGGAGTACTGTGTACAGTTCTGGTTGCCTCACTAGAGGAAGGAATGTGATAGCACTGGAGGGGATACAGAGGAGGTTTACCAGGATGTCACTTGGGATGGAGAAAGTGAGCCACAAGGAGAGACTAGATAGGCTTGGATAGTTTTCTCTAGAGCAGAGAAGACTGAGAGGGGACATAATTGATGTGTACAAGATTATGAGGTGTATGGACAAAGTGAATAGAGAGTAGTGCTCCCCTTAATTGAGGGGCTGATCACAAGAGATAGGAGTTTTAGGGTAAGGGGCAGGAGATTCAGAGGGGATTGGGGAAAAAAAGACGTTTTCACTCAGCGAGTGGTCAGAATCTAGAATGCACTGCCTGGGAAGGTAGTGGATGCCAGAAACCTTACAACCTTTAAAAAATTATTTAGATGAGCACTTCAAACATCATAACATTCGAGGATATGGGACAGGTGTAGGAAATTGGGATTAGCGTACCTTTAGTAGTAGTTACATTGGTACATACTCTATGGGCTGAAAGGCCTTTTCTGCACTGTATGAATCTATGAGCCTATTATTTCTTAAAAATGTATGAATCTATGTAATGTAAATTGGCTGGCATGTTGCTTTTGGCGATTTTCTCAAGATTTTTCCACTGGTTGGTGAGAGTCACATGGTAGCTGGCTCAGTTATTAAAGATCTCTGACTTATCAATTCAAGGTCACAGCATACAACAACTGCTGCGGGAAAGATAAACTGGTTTGCTTCAAGTTTAATGTTAGTTTTGACTGCAGAGAACAGAGAGACTGTTCCTGAGTTGACCATTTCACTCTCTCTGTAACCTATTCTCACCCCAAGCTGTTCAATTACCAAGACCCAATCACATAATTTTTGGCATGCTGAAAAGATCTCTGGCATGTATAACTGGTCTCTAGTCCATGCACCAATTGAGTTCTTGTTGTCAGCAAAAAGTGTTCTATACATCCCCTCAGCTCCAAATTACCTGCAACTCATACTCCAATTCAGCTTTTCAAACAGTTATTTACATGATGCTTTGCATGGGGATAAAGTTACTTGCTTTCAGAACTGCAGTCATTCTTTCTAAACAGCTCTTCCTTATTTCAGTCCACAGTTTTTTAATAACACAAAATAAAAAGACACAGTACTGACAACACTAAAATTGGACAAGCTTGATTTATATCCTTTGGAGTTTAGAAGATGAAGAAAAAACTTGATTGTATCATTTGAGATCCTGAAGGATCTTAATAGGGTGGATGGGGAGACAATGTTTTTATTTATAGGAAAATTTAGAACTAGGGTTCACTGCTTAAGATCAGGGGTCCCCCATTTAAAACAGAGATGAGGCAATTGTTTATCTCACAGAGGCTATTGAGTCATTAGAACTCTCTTCTTGAAATAGTGGTGGAGTCCTTGAATATTTTTAATGCACAGTTAGATTCTTGATAAAGGGATGAAAGGCTACCAGGCTAGGCAAGAATGTGGATTTCAGGTTATAATCCAATTAGCCATGATCTTATTGAATGACAGAACAGACAGAAGGAGCTGAATGGCTGACCCCTGCCCCCAATTCAAATATTTGCTTGTTAATATCCTCATCACAGTTATAATCAAGCCTACCCACCCCCTACATAGTTACACGCCTTTTCCTCCTTTTGAGAGCCACTGTCTGACCCTTCCCATACAGCTACAGGCTGAACATCCCCACCCCGCCACATATACATGCATACACAAAGTCTGAGCCTCCCCTCCCCTGCATAGCTATAGCCTGAACCGCCCTTCCCCACATAGCTACTGCCTGAGCTCCCCCTCCCCAACACAGTTATAGTCTGAATATACCCTCCCCCCTCGCACAGCTACAGTGTGAGCCTTCCTTCCCCACATATCTACAGTCTGAACCTCCCCTCTCCATATAGCTACAGTCCTAACTTCTCTCCCCCACACAGCGACTGCCTGAACCTCCTGTATCCCACATAGCTACAGTCTGAACCTCCCTCCCTTCCCCAAACAGCTACACTCTGAACCTAACAAAAACCGAAAGAACTGGGGCTGCTATATAAATCAGGAACAAAAACAGAAGTTGGTAGAAAAGCTTAGCAGGTCTGGCAGCATCTGTGAAGCAAAACATTTTGGGTCCAGTGACTCTTCCTTGGAACTGATGGTAGCTAGGAAAATACCAGTTTATACGCAGAAGATAGGAAGGGGGATGATAGGATAAAGGATAGAGTGCAAAGAGAGAGAGAAGAGCAGTTGGATAGAGTTGATAACGATCTGGCTGGGAGGGTGAATAGTTGTTAATGAGGACTGTTAGTGACTAACAATAGGTAGTGTGTAATGGCAGGCTGTGTGATAAGAAGGCCTGGTGTGTGGGGTAGGGGACTAGGACATGGGAGAGTTTAGGCCCTGAAATTATTGAACTCGATAGTGAGTCCAGAGGGCTGCAGGGTCCCCAAGCGGAAAATGAGATATTGTTCTTCTAGCTTGCCCTGAGCTTTGCTGGAACACTGCAGCAAGCTTGAGACAGAGATGTTGACCAGGGAACAAGGTGGTGTGTTAAAGTGGCAGTCAACTGGAAGCTCAGGGTCTTTATTTTGAGCAGAATGTAGATGTTCTGTGAAGCGGTCACCCAGCCTATGCTTTGTTTCCCCAATGTAGAGGAGACCACATTGTCAGCAGCGAATACAGTAGACTAGATTCTGGGAAATGCAGGTGAAATGTTTTGGCCCTTGGATAATGGGGAGGGAGAAGGTAAATAGGCAGGTGTTACACCTTTGCCAGTTGCAGGGGAAGGTGCCATGGGGCTGTGGGGAGGTGTTGGGAGAGAAGGAAGAGTGGACCAGGGTGTCCCAGAGGGAACGGTTCCTGGGGAAGGTAGAAAAGGGAGGGGAGGAGAATATGTCTGGTGGCAGCATCTGGCTGAAGGTGGCGGAAATGGCATCTGATGACCTTCTGGATGTTGATGCTGGTGGGATGGACCCAAAAAAGACCCTGAGCTTCTAGTTGCCTGCCACTTTAACACACCACCCTGTTCCCTGGCCAACATCTCTGTCTCTGGCTTGCTACAGTGTTCCAGCAAAGCAAGCTGGAAGAACAACATCTCATTTTCCACTTGGGGACCCTGCAGCCCTCCGGACTCAATATCGTGTTCAATAATTTTAGGCCCTAAACTCTCCCACATCCTAGTCCCCTACCCTACACACCAGGACTTGTTAGCACACAGCCTGCCATTACACACTTATTGTTAGCCACTAACTTGCCCCCATGAGCAGCTTTTCATCCTTCTGGCCAGATCATTATCAACTCCTTTGTCTATCTAACTGATATCTTCTCTGTCTTTGGGCTCTATCCCTTATCCTATAATTTACTTCCTACCCCATCCCACTCCCTATCTTCTGCATATAAACCAACATCTTCCTAGATGCTATCAGTTCTGAGGAAGGGTCACCGGACCCGAAATGTTAACTCTGACTTTTTCTTCACAGATGCTGCCAGACCTGCTGAGTTTTTTCCAACAACTTCTGCTTTTGTACAGTCTGAACCTCCCTTCCCTACACAGCTACAGTCTGAACCTCCCTTCACCTCACAACTAGATTTTAAATCTTACCTCCCTGAAAGCTAGTCTGATGACAAGCCATAGTCCCCTGTTGGACAGGAAGACCACAGACAGTGCTGTAACCCAGGAGCATGTAATACTGTGCTGCCCAGGTAGAGCCTGTGATGTTGGAGGAGGGGGAATGAGTACATGAAGTTTGGGTACAATAGTGTCAGGAGTGTTGGAGCAAGATCACGCACAGTGATAGCGCTTCGTGTTGTATCAGTGGTTGTGGGGATTGGGATTTAGTAATTGAGAGGGTCATGCATAATGATTGTAATGGATGTCAGTGATGGGAATTTATTGGTGATTTAGGAGAAATTCAATAAGCCCCACCTGGCCCACAGACAGTGCTGTATAGCTACGTTTCTTAAAGAAACCAGACCTACTCACTTTATTTTACCTGCTGTGTATCCCAAGGTACAGAAAATATGGCCAACTGTGGTTAAGATGAAATCACCACTAAATTGGAGGGAGGTGACCTTCTTAAAAGGTTTTAATGATTAACTCACCAAATCGTTCACTTGCCCTTTTACAGACTCTGTTAACATAAGAAACAGGTTGGTTTGATATGGATTAAGTTTCTGTTTCAGGTTTAAACTTTTACCTTCCTACCTAACCATAACCCACCAGTTTTTGAGATGTTGCAACAATAACCCTGAATTTGCTATACACCTAATGACAAGGATAATTATTTTTCTCCTTAGTTATGGGTAAAATGCACAGCACCTTTAAGGACGTCGCAAATGGATGTTGAAACTCAAGCATTCGTGAGTTACATTACTCCATTGTTAGTTCCACTTTCGGTCTGGAATTCTCAGCATTTGTCCATTAATTATCCATTAAGCTCACCACAGAGAGTGAAGTCACATCAGTTTGTTGAAATACCTTTTTAACAATGCAGTTAAGTACTAATTACTAACAAGCAAACTCTCCGGCACTAAGTCTCATTCCTTCAGATGTATTTTTTTCAAGAGGCATCATTGTTAAAAATTTGCCTGTGTTTTTACACTGTTTGTTCCGGTGCCAGGTGTCCTGTTTCCCTCATTGCACTGTTGCTAGTTCATACTTGCAGTATTTAATGAGCAAACCATTTGTTTGAGCTAAAGGATTCTTGAGCAACCAATGACAGATACAGTTAAATGCCCCGATCCTGTTTATCTTGCCAGAGATGCTGTCTGACCTGCAGTTTTCACATGTTAAACCTACTCAACAGGGTGAGTTGCAAATTGCCTCCCTCATTCAGATTGTCAACCTGACTCTCAGCCTCAGTTATTAAGTGACTACTGATCATTTTCTTGAACAATGAGTGCAAGGAGATTGTAACAAGTCTGAGATTGGTAATTTTACAAATGAGGTCTTGTGGTAAGAAAAAATACTGCCTTGTGTTGCAGGAGTACACCATCGATATCTTCTTCGCACAAACCTGGTATGACAGGAGGCTGCGTTTTAACAGCACACTGAAAGTCCTGACCTTGAACAGCAACATGGTGGGGCGTATCTGGATCCCAGACACCATATTCCGAAACTCAAAGAGGGCTGATTCTCATTGGATCACCACACCCAATGAACTGCTGCGAATCTGGAATGATGGCAAGATCCTCTATACTCTGAGGTAAGGTTCTTATCCCGGAGATGACGTCACATCACCACCCACTGTTCCAGCCCCACCTAAAACAGACTGTGTCTCATCCCTACCTCAAACAGCCTTCCTCCCTTCCTGCTTCTCTCAGACAGCCTCTGTCCGTCCTTGCCCCCCTCAGACAGCCCTTTATCATTGCCAGTTGCTGCTGCCAAACTCAGTTATGGCTTGTTGCAGATCATTGTTTCCCCAAAGAGAAGACAGCAACACATAGAATCAGAGAAGATCACAGAATCCCTATAGTGTGGAAACAGGCCCTTCTGCTCAACAAGTCCACACCAACCCTTGGAGCATCCCACCCAGACCGATTCCCCTATAACCCACCTAATCTACACATCCCTGAATTCTACGGGCAATTTAGTATGGCCAATCCACTTAGCCTGCACACCTTTGGACTGTGGGAGGAAACCCACGCAGACACGGGGAGAATGTGCAAACTCCACACAGACAGTCGCCGAGGGTGGAATCGAACCTGAGTCCCTAGCACTGTGAGGCAGCAGTGCTAACCACTGAGCCACCGTGCCGCACCAACTCCAGCAAGTTTCCATGTGTATTTTTGGAGGCAAAGTCACCATTGACCTATTGAAACATAGGCTGCAGTCTCATGAGAGAGGGACAAAAGATGGTGGCTTAACCTGAGAATCATCGCACCTCAGATAAGGAATGAGGTTAAGAAGGAGGGTCCTCATAGTAACTTCAGCTGGTTTGGGAATCAAACCTGCACTGTTGGCATCACTCTGCATTGTAGATCAGCTGTCCAGCCAGCTGAGGGGAGGCAAATTGGATGGGTTACACCTGAGCAGGACTGGGACTGATGTCCTAGGGTAAGTATTTGCTAGAGCAGTTGGAGAGGGTTTAAACTAATATGCCAGGGGTATTGGAACCTATGTAAAGAGTCACAGAAGAAGGCAGCAAGGACAAAAACAAAAGTTAAAAAAAGGAATAAGAAAAGTGATGGACTGAGATTCCATGGACAAGATTCAAACAGGGCTATTGAGAAAAATAAGGAGGAGTCAAACACTGTTAAAAGGACAAGCTTAAAGGTGTTGTGCCTTAATGCGCAGAGCATCTGCAATAAATTGGATGAACTAATTATGCAGATAGATGTAAATGGGTACGAGAGATTAAGGTGCATGATTAAAGTGCATGGGATTGAGGGAAGTGTATCGAGATGGATAGGGAACTGGCTGGCAGAGAGGAAACAAAGAGTAGGAATTAATGGGTCCTTTTCAAGTTGGCAGGCAGTAACTAATGGCGTGCCACAGGGATCGGTGCTGGGATTCTGCTATTTTCAATATATATTAATGATTTGGATGAGGGAACAAAATGTAACATCTCCAAGTTTGCAGATGATACCAAGTTGGGTGGGGGGAGGGCGAACTGTGACGAGGATGCAGAAATCCTTCAGCATGATCTGGACAGCTTGGGTGAGTGGGCAAATCCATGGCAGATGCAGAGTAATTTAGATAAATGTGAGGTTATTCACTTCAGAAGCAAAAACGAGAAGGCAGATTACTACCTGAATGGCTGTAAATTGGGAGTGGGGAGTGTGAAGCAGGATCTGGGCATCCTTGAGCAGCAGTCGCTGAAGGTAAACATGCAGGTTCAGCAGACAGTAAGGAAGGCAAATGGTACGTTGGCCTTCATTGCAAGAGGTTTCAAGTACAGGAGCACGGATGTGTTATTGCAGTTGTAAAGGGCCTTGGTGAGACTACACCTGGAATATTGTGTGTAGTTTTGGTATCTTTTTTTGGGGAAGGATGCTCTTGCTCTCGAGGGAGTGCAGCAAAGGTTTACCAGGCTGATTCCGAGGATGGCGGGTCTGACGTATGAGGAGAGATTGACTATGTTGGGATTGTTTTCGCTAGAGTTCAGACAAATGAGGGGGGGGTCTCGTACAGACTTGTAAAATTCTAACAGGACTGGACAGGGTAGATGCAGGGAGGATGTTCCTGATGGGGGGAATGTCCGGAACCAGGGGTCGCAGTCTGAGGATTCGGGGTAAACCATTTAGGACAGAGATGAAGAGACATTTTTTCACCCAAAGAGTGGTGAGTCTGTGGAATTAGTTGATGCCAAAGCATTGAATGTATTCAAGAGGCAGCTAGATATAGCACTTGCGGCGAATGGGATCAAAGGTTATGGGAAGAAAGCAGGGTTAGACTATTGAGTTGGACAATCAGCCACGATCGTGAAGAATGGCAGGGCAGGCTCAAAGAGCCAAATGGCCTCCTCCTGCTCCTATCTTCTATGCTTCTATGATCGCCTAGTGGTATTATTGCTGTTCTGTAATCTAGAGACCCAGGAAATGTTCGGGAAACCCGGGTTCAAATTCCGCCATGGCAGATGATGGAACGTGAAGTGTCTAATCATGACCATGACTCAGTGGTCATGAAAAAAACCCATCTGGTTCACTGATATGCTTTAGGGGAGGAAACTCCATCCTTACCTGGTCTGGCATACGTGTGGCTCCAGACCCACAGTAATATGGTTGACTCTTAGGGATGGGCAATAAATGCTGGCCTAGCCAGCGATGCCCTCATCCCATGAATGAATATAAAAAAAGTGATGGCTGTGTCTGTGTGTGATTTGATAAAGCCTGTGAGGTTGAAGAAGTGCATTATCATTCTAGTCCCACTACTCCATGTGTTTGTTGTACTCCCTAAAACAAATAAAATTAAAAATACTATTTGCTAATTTCTGAGATTGCCAATTAAATGCCTTATCTAGATCAGGTTTTAAATTAAAAGGTCTGTTAACCAGGTTTCTCTAATAAACACACCGTGAAAACAAGATGTGATCTCACCAGTGTCCTGTATAACTGCAGCAGATAACCTCCCACTTTTTAATTAAATTCCACTTGGCATAAATTATAGTATTTGATTAGCTTAATTACTTGCTGTGCCTGCACATTAACATTCTGCAATTTATGCATTAGATCACCCAGACCTCTCTGCATTTTAGAGTTCTCGCCATTTAGATAATATTCCTTTTCTTATACTTCCTGCCAAAATGAGCACTTTGACATGTTTCGCATCGTATTCCATTTGACAGATCATTACCCATTCACTTAACCTGTCTATAACTTTTTTGTAGCTTCCTCATATCTGATTCACAATTTATTTTCCTACCCATCAATAAATTTGGAAACTAAATCATCCATCCCTTCATGTAAGACATTTATATAAATTATAGGCAGTTGAGATTCCAGCGCTGATCCCTGTGCCACACCAATTGTTACATCTTGTTAACTTTAAAAAAAAAAGTTATGTCCATTCTCTACCTCCTGTTAGCTAACTAATGTTCTATCCATGGTAATGTTCTGTCACCTACATGACCTTTTATCATCGGCAGTGAATTTTGATTTGGCACCTTATATTAGGCTACAAAAACTTCAAATTTGCTGGACAGCTGCAAAAGCTGAGGCTCCAGCCCTCTGGGTTCCCTGATCTGTCTCATTCACAATTACATTGTCCTTTCCCTGCACACATCATATTAGGTGATCTAACCCTAACAGATATTACTGCATCGTGGTACAAAAAATCAAGGTAACTTTCCCCTCCATAATGGTTGCAGTGTCCATAGTTCAGTCTCTAGCTCATAAACTCTGAGCTGAAGCTGGTCCAATTTCAGTTCTTGCCACAAACATGTTTGTTCTGGGTAAAACTCTTTTCCATGAACTCCCACATGCTGTTACCATTCTTAGTGTGGTCTAAGATTTGCTCAATATTTTCATTCAGTTATACTTTAGGCATTTTTAAAATATATTTTATTAATCTTTCCATCAGTTGCTATATTATTTTGAGTGTTAGGTATAGAGTAGACCTTAGTCACTTCCAGACACTCACTAAATAACCAGCTTTTTTGCCTGCAGCAACTTAAGAATCTATTTTGAAAGGTTAAAAAGTTTATGAAAAGTCAAAGCACCAGAACTGTTTCCCTTCTTCTCCTTATCTCATTTAACCACTTAACTGTGACACTATTGCTACTCACACTTAAGTCACACTGAATGACAGAACAGGCTTGAGAGGCCGAATGGCCCACACTTGCTCCTATTTTTCCATATTAAGTGCTAAATCACACACAGTCGGCTAGTTTGATCTGCTCCTAATAGAAAAGAACTATCTGACTCTCTTAATGAGGAGCTATTTGTTCTTAATTAAGCTGCTCCTTCACTGGAAGTCTTGTTAAAACCCTGCTTAAGGTTAGCAACTACAAAATATAAACTGTAGATCTCAATTTAATTTTAACAACAAGCTACAAATTAAACTAGGCTCATACCCAGTTAGACTGTATTACTCAACAAATGCATGCACTCAGGCCTGTCTCCCAAAAGGAGATGACATCTTCAGTCATGAAGAGGAGATCTAGAAGGAAAGCCTGAGAATTTCCTCTACTTTTCTGCCATTATGACATTGAAATGTGTAAGGAATGCAGCAGAAACCTCCTCCATGTGATGGAACAATCACCAGAGTTTAAACAGAAGGAAGACAGAAGAAAATTTAAGGCAAGAAAGTATTATTTCAGTATTCTTTCTCCAAATAATTTTCCCTGATATCAATACTGATATAAAATAGTCAAGATTTGAAACATGTGTAGCTCCATTTATCACCATCCATCAGATCTGGCTGAGTATCACACAGTCCCAATTTGAACATGAGCCATATAAGGTGTTAACAAAATAGACAACCAAAAATTTGTTCAAAGAATTAACGTTTAAGAAACATCTGAAGTAGGAGAGAAAGACAGAGAGGGGTAAGGAGGGGAGTCAAGATCTCAGGGCCTAGGTAACTTAAGGCCAACAATGATGGAGCATTTAAAAGCAAAGATATATAAAAGTCTAGAATTGGATGAATGCAGATGTATCGGCAGGGCTTTAGGATTAGATGACAAAACAGAGGGATTTAAACAGAAAAATAGGGCGACATGGTGGCTTAGTGGTTAGCACTGCTGCCTCACAGTGCCAGGGACTTCTTTTATTCACCAGATGTGGGCATAACTGGCTAGGCCCAGAGGGCTGTTAAGAATGAACCACGTTGCTGTGAGTGTGGAGTCATATGTAGGCTGGACCAGGTAAGGATGGTGGATTGGTTTCCTGAAAGACGTTAGTGAACCATATGGATTTTCTGACAATCAACAACAGTTTTATGGTCATCATTAGATTCTTAATTCCTGATGTTTTTTTATTCAAATTCTGCCATGGAAGAATTCAAATCCAGGTTGCCAGAACATTACCTGGGTCTCTGAATTAACAGCTTGGTGATTGTACCATGAGATGAAATTGAAATGGGCAGCAGAGTTTTGGTTGATCCAAAGATTGTGAAACATGGAGAGTGGGCAGCTGACTGGCAGGCCATAGGAATACTCTAACCTAAAGATAATAAAGGCATCAATAAGGGATTTAGCAGCCAAACAGTAAGACAGGGCAGAGACGGGAAAGATTACAGAGGTGGCAAAATGAAGCTTTGACAATGGCGAGGATGTTGGACAGACTCTTGCTTAAGAGAGGAAAGGTGACTAAGGAGGAGAATCAAAGAGAATAGCCTCAATCTTCCCAATTTTTACGTGAAAGAAATGCTTTCTACAAGAAATTGTGGTATAGTTGATGGAGATGAGTTTATTTTCCATTTTGCAGACTCACAATTGAAGCGGAGTGCCAGCTCTATCTGCAGAACTTCCCCATGGATGAGCAGTCCTGTCCTCTCACCTTCTCCAGCTGTAAGTCTCTGAATTCATCCAAGGCCTCATTCTCAATCATGGCACCCAGATTCCAGACATTAACTATTGAGTTTGCTATCTCTGCTGTGAGTGAAAGATTGACTTTTTGATTAGTTCTTGAACTAAAGTCCAACAAAGTCAACACAAAGGTAAATTATTCTGGGTGCAAAGACAGACAGGTGATTCATTCTTGGCCATTTCGCTTCACCCTCTGTCCCCCAGCCCAAGGTCAATTTCACCTCCATTAACTTATTTTAATTTGATGCTCAGATAGATGTGGATACAGACCATAAAATATAGGTGCAGAATTAGGCCATTCAGTCCATTGAGTCTGCTCTGCTGTTCAATCATGTCTGACATGTTTCTCGACCCCATTCTCCTGCCTTCTTCCCCATAACCCTCGATCCCTCACTAACCAAGAATCTATCTACCTCTATCTTAAATACACTCAATAACGTAGTCTCCACAGTCTTCTGCAGCAATGAGCTAGACAGATTAACCACCCTCTGGCAAAAGATGATTTATAAGGAGGAATTATATAACACTGTGACAAATCCTGACACAGATGGATGAATAGAATTGCAGGTGCAATCACATGTGAAAGATTCCCATTGATAGTTTATCTTATTGAAATTCAGAACCATTCTAAAATACCTTTCAGATTGCAAATGAATTTGAGGCACAGTGAAGCTGATGCAGCTCAATTAGCAGAGAAAAACTGAAGGGATGACTTGTATTTCTAAAGCTGCTATCGCAGCAGACAACTACATTAGATACAGAAAGATCCCACAGCCAGCAACAAAATGAAGGCCTGGATTTAATGATAGTAATCAAGGGACAAGTATTGATCAGGGCGCAGAGGAGATTTTATTTGAATAGTCATATATGATCATTGACAGTTTAATGTTTCACCTGAAAGACACCACTCCCTCACAACTGCACTGAATAAAAAATGAAAGAACTGCAGATGCTGTAAATCGGGAGCAAAAACAGAAGTTGCTGGAAAAGCTCAGCAGGTCTGATAGCATCTGTGAAGAAAAATCAGAGTTAACATTTCAGGTCTGGTGACCCTTCTTCAGACCCTTCCTCACCGTTGCACTGTTTTGTCAAGCTTAGAGTTTGTGCTCAAGTCCCTGGAGTGGGCTTTATTCATGTCAGAGATGAAAGCGCATTGACTGAAACATAGCCAACTCTGGAACATGGTTTGACCATTGCAGTATCTTATTCAGACCAGGAGTGCCATCGTTTGATCAACATCTGGCTTGAGCCAGGGTACTACCAATATCTCTAATAACCATTCTTAAAAAGGGTGTGAGTGGAACTGTGATCTGTGACACACTCACAGTGGAGTAGCCTGCAACTATTCATTGTATGGGCTCAGGAATCATTGCAGGGGTCAGATCGTGGAAACAGATAGTGCTTGAAAGTACCCAGCAGCCCTAGCTGCATCTGGAAACAAAGCTAACATTCAGCAATTGGATTGCTGTCAGGAACAAACATGGGGACTACACATGCAGGTCCTAAGCCCCATCCTGTCATTGAGGTGCCCGCCAATGCAACTTTTGGCCAAGCACTCTCCTGATTGGTTGCCTTCTTGTTTACTGTGCACTAATGGATGAAGAGAAGCCCCCCCCCCCCCCCACCCCACCTCACTGTGCTAGCATAATTCAGCTGCCTGGTGGCCAGTCTCCCAGTAAGAGGCCACCTTTGCAGCATTGTTGGGGTCCTGATAAAGCAGTGGAGAGGGAATATTTTTGTGCAATAATGGCCCTGAATTGGCACCTATTGACCTCTGTGGAGCACGTTCTCCATTTCAATGGCATGCTGGACCCAGGATTATTGCCCAGAGATAGGGCAGCATTGAAAAGGGGGCTGCTTCCATCACTTGTCCATGGAGTTTTGTTTTTAATTTGTTCATTGGGTGTGAGTATCATTGGCTAGGCCGGCATTTATTGGCCGTCCCAACTTCCAAGGGGTGACCCAATTGCTGTGCATCTGGAGCTCCATATAGGCCAGAGTGGGTAAGAATGGCAGGTTTCCTTCACTAAAGAGGATTAAAAAACCACCATGGGTTTTTGTCAGCAATTGTCAATGGTCACTATTGGGTAGCTTTTCATTCCAGATCTTTATTGAATTCAGATGTTACCATGGGATTCAAACCCATGTCCCCAAAGAATGTAAATAAAACCAAATTACTATGCATGCCAGAAATTTGAAATAAAACAGAAAGTGCTAGAGAAACTCAGCACAGGGTCAGACAGCATCTGTGGAGAGACAAATAGAGTTAACGTTCTGAGTTGAGTTCAGAAGTTGAAGTCCATTTTGGATTGAAATATTAACTCTGACATTCTCTGGTGTTAATCCCCAGAATGGGAGGCTGGATTACTAACCCAGTGACGTTAGCAGCTATTCCATTATTTCCCAGTGTCCCAGTGTTGATGAGCTTTGTCAGATACCCTCTCCACAGACGGTGCCACACTTTCCTGCTTTTATTTCAGATTTCTGACATTCAGTCTTTTGTTTTTGTCTGACTGGAGCAAATTCGGGCGTGGCTGCTGTTAAGCGTCGAGTTCTTCCTCAGCAGGAGAGGCAGAGAATTGACAACGAGAGCTATCCCCATACTGGAAGGTTATGGAACAAAGGGACAATATTTTCAAAATCACTTTAAACTAAATTATAAATCACAGCGCCGCGCCCAATCCAATTAGTACAGCTGGTTAATGACCCAGGAGCTGAATCCAAATCAACACATAATGCCATAGTACCAGTTCAATTTGATCATTCACTGGTTCCTTTCGTTGGCCCTGGGTAATCAAGATACCACAATGTAAATTGAGCCATTTATTAAATCAGCAGTCACTTGAATAGGGACAGACCTAGAGGAAAAAAATAAAAACAATGGGAACAGACTGTTGCATACTGCCGAGACAATCAAACACAGATAGGAGCAATGAAAACTGCTCTCCCAGGTACTGTCACCTCTCTTCACATGTGGTTAATTGACAATCCTGATAATGGCTAATTGCCTTTTGGATCATTCAATAGGTAATGGGGCTCTTGTGATGCAGTGCTAGTATCCCTACCTCTGGGGCTGGAGGCCTGAGTTCAAGTCCCACCAGTCCTAAAAGTGTGTCATAACATGACTGAACATGTCGATGAGAAAATATCTTCAGTAAAACATAAATATATGGGATGAGTATGTTAGGATCTGAAGGGGGCAGTGGGCAGGGGAGAATATGAAACTGGGCAAGTTGGCATTCAACTGGTCAGTGACCAATTTTAACATCATCATCCTGACCACCAACAATTTTACTTGCAATCCACCCGAACCAGAGATTTCAGCAGTTGACCCTGTTCATGAGCTTGCTGTCAGTTTGTCAGCCTGTTTGGACATTTCAGCAGGCGCATGGGTTAAATAATAGATCTGTAACACAGTGAGCAGTTAGACATAGCTGCACCATCCAGTCAATCAGGTCCATAAAATCCATAACCTACAGGGGCACACAGGTGCCATCCAGTAACCAGGAGAAGTGCAGTAAGCAGTCTGTGTTTTTGTTGACCAGTCAAGGGAGTTGTGAGGCTCCAGAGATTGTGGGGCTACTCAGTCCAATGAGCGTTGAGAGTGCAGGCAAAGCAAAAAGCGTTCACGGTATTAAGTTGCTTGGAGATAGAGACAAGTGGCAATGAGGATTAATGTCCTCAGGAGCAGATACAAAGTGCCAGAAATGAGAAGGGTAGAGGTGAGAAACAAAGGATAGGAAGCCAATGAAGGAGAGTCCCTCATCATCAAAGAAGGAACTAAAAGGACAATGGGTGATATGGACAGAGTAGAAAGAGTTTTACTCTGTGTCAAACCCTGTGTTGTACCAGCCATGGGAGTGTTTGATGGGGACAGTGTAAAAAAAGCTTTATTCTGTATCAGACTCTCTGCTGTACCTGCCCTGGGAGTGTTTGATGGGGATAGTATGGAAGGAGTTTTACTTTCAGTTTGAAAGAGTAGAAGAAGCTTTGCTCTGTATCCAAACCCCTGCTGTCCCTGGCCTGAGAGGATTTGATAGGGACAGTATAGAAGATATTTCACTCTGATCTGACCCCATGCTGTCCTTGTCCTTGTCCTGGGCTGTTTGATGGAGATAGTGCAGAGGGACTTTTACTCTGTATCTGACACCCTGCTGTAAATGGCCCAATGGGAATAATGTAGAGGAATCTTTGCTTATAGTTTAAGAGAGTAGAGGAAACTTTACTTCTAGCTTAAAAAAGTAGACGGAGCTATCCTCTGTATCTGACCTTTTTTTTGGGCTGTGGTTACAGAGCTGACCTACATGTTTCTAGGAAGTTGGTAAGGTGTGTATTGCAACTGTACATAGACTCACTGCTGAGTTTTGCCTGCAGATGGATATCCAAAAGATGAAATAACCTACAGATGGAGACAGTACTCGATTGAAGTGGCACACCAACGATCCTGGAGACTCTACCAGTTTGATTTTGTTCGTCTCCGGAACACAACAGAAGTCCTCAAAACCACTGCAGGTGAGGACCATTTGAAAGCTGGGGTGAGTGTTTTGGATTTCTCTCAGTTTAGCTCCAAGTTGGGAATGGGCCCGGTTAGCATAACTCATTGAGATGGCCTCATTGCCAAACTTGGCACTTGGCACTTCTAGCTAAAGATTGCAGCAAATGCTTCAGCCTCATCTTTTGTACTGATGTGCTTGGGCACATTGGGATATTTGTAGAGGCCCCTCTTCCTCTTCCCTAATGATGCATCACTGGCATTCCAGAACCCAATCTTCACAATCATTCTGCTTTAAAAAAAGAACCCCACTTCAATCTGCTTTCCATTTCATCATTATTTAAACTAAGTCTCTGTCATCTGGTTAGCAAGCCTCCTACTAATGCAAGCTGTTTCTCATTATTTACACTCAATTAAATCTCCATTGCCATAAGGGAGTCAAATAATCACGTGCCGAAAAGAGGAATATTATTTCTATCAGAAACACAACTGTCTTCGCCAACGTAGTTTGTAAAAACTAAACTCCTTGCAAAGGAAATAATATCCAACAGTGATATTGGCCAGAGTGTGTCTTTTGTAAAGGACATTCGGAAAATCAGTCATTCAGCAAGATTTTGGGTGTGGCATTGAACTGCACCTGAATATTTTGTCTCCAAAAGCAAGCTTTCAACTCATATAAAAAATCAGTGACTAAGGTTGCAGAGGGAGTTGAATTATGATAAACATACTCTGTTCAAATGAAACAATTGTTCTCAGAGTTTAACAGCTGGAGAAAGACTTGGCAGGGATGTTGTATAAATTTCAGTTACAATCTGAAGGGGTTAACTGACCTCACATGATAGGCTCCACCCATCAGGATATGAAGGACTGTTCCTGGGAGAAGCTGACCAATTTGCAAATAGCTGTTCTTAATGTCAACAATGTGGAGCTAAAATAATAAGGTTGCGTTGTGTCTGACGTCTCACAAGAGACAACCATGTACTTTGAGAGAAACGTCATCTAGCTATTAAACAATCTGGAATAAACTGAATGACATTTGAAGAAAATTGAATGTATTTCCTGCCTAGGGAGTGGTGTGAACATCCTTCTTCACATAGTATCAGTAGCCTGTACTAATATCTGCAAGAATAGTTGGTGACAGCAAATCTACACAAGAAATCACAGATCATATTCAACATTAAAACAAACAGCAGCTTCTTCCTGTGCTGAATCTTCAGATAATTGGCATTACTTTACCAGCCCAGCTCAGTGACTGTTGGGGGACTCAGACATTGAGACTTTACCAGGCAACTGTCCTTGCTCATAGGGTTGTTGCTGAGCTATGCAGCTGTGATCCCAGGATTTGTTCCCAGGCATTGTGCCATGGATGTGACACCTTTTTTTGAAGGCCTCTCATCTTAAACCATTGGCAAATGTGAACATTCTGACTGTTTTGTCCAGAAGTCTCTGCTTGTCCTGTGACCCAAGAAAGCCCAGCTGTCTCAGCCTTCCTGAGTCCTACTGGCTCTTGTTGGGCAGACTGTCTCACTGCAGGAGTCTCTAACTCTGTACTATGCTACATAGCATTGCTGGGCTACTGTTGTGTACCAGGTCCTTTAGCTTGAATATATCCACCTGATTTTCTGCCCTGAGCTTAGTGAGGTTTCTGCTGGCAAAGCTGCTAATTTGAACAGAAGACTGGTTCTTTGCCAAAATGAGCTTCCTCCGTTAAATCAATTGGTATTTGGCTACAATATAGCATTTATTGATATAGTTGCATATAGTACAAGAGTAATGAGCCAGCTAGTATTGAGTTCAATTCTGAAGAAAGAAGTGGGGGGTCAGTATGTACCTGTCAGGATCACTATACTCTGGTTTGACCCTCTTAAGTACGACTGTGGTGCAGTTTTAACTGGTCAGTTTTGCTACAGCATCAAATCAGGTTGTAAATCGTATCTTTAATTGAGTGAACACTGAACAAGGCCTTATAGTCCAGGGTGTCAAAAGTGTGATCAGCACAGGGAAATTAAATCAGTCGCACCAGGATTGAAATTTGAAAGCTCATAACTTGCAGGAGGACAAGGACGCTGACAGTGATGGTAAGTTTCAGAATCTGGAATTATTGAGAGAATGAGCTAGATCTGATGAGTCTTCATTCATTCTGATTGATTTGGACTTCAGCAATTTAATCCAAATTCCTGCTGAACCATGCAAACTCATAACATGATCACAATGATATAGATTATTGGCACAAGTGGTTTGTCTTGTTCTTTTTAATGCAGTGACAAGAACAAGTTAATTGATCATCAAATCATCATGTGTTTTTTTTTTCATTCAACAGGAGACTACACTTTGATGATTGTTTACTTTGATTTAAGTCGCAGAATGGGATATTTTGCAATACAGACTTATATCCCCTGTATACTAACTGTAGTCCTATCATGGGTTTCATTCTGGATCAAGAGAGATTCAACTCCTGCCAGAACAACGCTTGGTAAGAATTAAGGCATTGAGAAGGAAACGGGAATCACGAAGAAAGGTTTTGACCCGATGGGAGTCATGAAGGGAGAAACCCTTGCATTAGCGCATGATGAAAAGAGTCAGTAGATTCTTTATTCTGGTGGATTGGCAACCAGCCCTCATTTTTAAGAGTTTCTGACAATTTCATGTTGACATTCATTCTTCTAATTAGGAATGCAATAAATATGGCAATTACTTTAATGTAGTGCCATGTAAAGAGCTAATCAAATGGTTTGTGAGCTATTCAAATATTGGAGCTCTTTCAAAACGTATATTGTCTTGGCAGAGCAGCCCAACCTTCCAAGGATTTTGATCAGCAAGGATGAAGGTTTTTATTGCCTATTTCCATTTGCCCTTGAGAAGGTAGTGGTATCTGCTTTCTTGAACCATTGCATTGTGTGTGATGTAGGAACACTCACAATGCTGTTAGGAAGAGAGTTCCCGGATTTTGAATCTGGCTTCAACACTGAAGGAACGATGATATATTTCCACGTTAAGGTGATGAGTGTCTCAGAGGGGAACTTGCAAAATTATTGATGGATCAGTGTTGGAGCTGCAGCTTTTCACAATAAATATAACTGACTTCAATGTTGGGCCAGAAACAAAACTCTCCAAGTTTGCAGAAGTTACCAAGCCAGAAGATGCTGGAAGGAACTGGACACAAACTCATCGAATGCAGAAGGACCTGAATGGACTGCAAATCTGAACTAATAAGAGGGAAATGTGGGTTAAATGTGGATAACAAACAGCCACAGGGCAAAGTAAAGGATGCAGCACTGGAGATGGTTTTGGAACACTGCTAGATAGATAGAGGGAGTCAGCAGAGGATGTGTGTAGCTCAAGTACAGAGATTGGTATGAACTTGGGCTCTTTAGCTGGAGGAATAGAGAACAGTGCATTAGTTTGATCCTAAATGGGGCATTGTGTACAATTCCAGGCAACTTACACTTGACAAAGGGGAACTTGCAGAGAAGGATGACCATTCTTGATCAGGAATAGAATAGCTGAGGGTTGAGTGTCAATGGCTGTTTAGTGAGCTTCCATTTCTGAATCCACATGTTGTCATTTCAAGCGCCAACTCCAGGAGAATAAGCACAAAATTCTGCTGAAACATACAATCATGTCCCTCTCAGATAGATTGAAAAAATCTCATGACACTACTTTGAGAAAGAACAAGGAAGTTACCTGTCTGTCCTGGCCAATAATGATCACTAAGTCAGCATTACAAAGAGAGATAATCCAGGGTAATGATCACATTGCTATTTTCAGGTGTTGGGTGTCACTATTTGGGTGGCCTGTTTGGTAGAATTCAGCAAGGGACTGGACTTCAAAAATACTGTATTAGTTGTGAAGTATTTTATATTGTTCTCTGGGTTGGGGCAGGAACTCTAAGAATAGCATGGGACATTTTACTGGAAGCTGTTGTTCCTGTGAAACTTGAAGGTGAGGGTCAGAGATTGGATAGGTACAGCCTGTCTCCACGCTTAGATCAGGGATAGAACCAAGTTTAATTGTAAATGTTTAATTGTGTCTCTAGTTATTTTGCTTCCTCATTGAAAATGCATGAGAACCTGGGATACCAGTTCAGTAAAATGTAGGGTAAACGGCAGGATTACCTTTGCTACTATGTGTCGGATACCATTGGTGAACCCATTCAAAAATTTATAAGTATGATCTAACGAGGATGTTTATTCTACAGCTTTCCAAAGTCCAAGAGAAGGGTTAAAAGATGGGATGGGAGCGCTTGTTGAATCCTGGCTCACTACATTACCAGAGTTTGCACATGCAACATCTCTTAGGCCATGAGATTGATTTATGTGGCTGTATTTCAGCACAGTTTCAGCAAATATTTAAATAGACTATTACCACAGCTCCCAATATGATTAATAGCCCTCTGGTGCAGTGAGCACATTAGTCAAATACACCACCTTGTCACGTGACTTTATAAAAGTTTTGGCTGATCTACACGTTCACTGTTGTTTATACCTAAAACCCACTAAGTTCAAGTTACGTTTGATACAAATGTATTTTTTTTCAAATTTGTGTCAATCAGTCTGAACTTAATCCATCAGTGTACAGTGTTTAAAAACAAATTGACAATTGAATCAATATCAAATGAGGTTAGACTATCAGTAATTTACTCATCAATGCCTTGTTTGACTAAGATCTCAGTTAATCTTCAGGTATTTTGGCTTTTCATGTTGGGCATGTGTTTACGGATTTTCCTATCCCTTTTGTGCACTGGCCTTGATTAAATAGTGTTGACATTCCAGGCTGTTTCTCTGACAATTGTGCAGAATTCATTTCAATTTAAAAACTCTGCAGATGCTGAATGTGTCAGTATGTAGCAGGACTGGACAATATCCAGACTTGCGCCAATAAATGACAAGCAATGTTCACATCAAATAAGTGCCTGGTAATCAGCAGCTCCAACAATGGAGATTTTAATTAGCTCTATGTGACTTTCAATGACATATCATCACTGAATCCTTCACTTTCAGAGGGGTCACCATTGACCAGAGACTGAATTGGACCAGCTATATAAACACTGTGACTACAAAAGCAGGTCAGAGGCTGGGAATCCTACAGCAAGTAATTCACCACCTGGCTCCCCATAGCCTGTCTACATGGCACAAGTCAGAAGTGTGGTGGAATACTCCCCATTTTCCTGAACGGGTGCAGCTCCACCAATACTTAAGAAACTCAACACTATCCGGGACAAAGCAGCCCACTTGATAGGCACCACATTCACAAACATCCATTCCCTTCACCATTAGTGAATACTGACAGCTGTGTACCATCTACAAGACGCTCTGCAGCAACTCATCAAAATCTTTGTTGAATGAACCTTCAAATCAATGAGTTCCATCAGCTCAAAGGCCAAGATCAGCAGACACAAGATTATACCACCATCTGCAAGTCCCAACCCAAAGCACAGGCACCATCCTGACTTGGAAATATATCATTGCAGCCTCATTCTCACTGAGTCACAGTCCTTGAACTATCCGACTTACAACACATGGAGTGCAGCGGTTCAAGAAGGCCCACTACCATCTCCTCAAGAACACCTGAGGAACGACAAAACTAATGTCTTTCTGCCAGCCATAGCCATATCATGACAATGCCTATGGCCATGAGATCTCCCCATGAATTCATCAGCACCCTGGGTGCTTTGAGCACTCCACATGGCAGGAAGTGCCCCATTCTCACCACACTTCGGCTATGTCAAGTAAAACATCAAGTTATGGTTTCTGCATTCTGATTCTGCCCCTGCTGATGTTCACTGCTAGACAGACAGATGTCAACCTACACAAATTGTTCAACTCAGCTAGAACTCTATTCATTGACCTTCCATTTCATTCCTCATGGAAAACTCCCGGAAAGAAATGAGCAGAACTGCAGGGTAGCTGCTTGGGACAGTACAACGTTATATTAATCAATGCAAGAAAGCTTAAAAGAATCAAAGGGCAGCTTTCTGGAATTTGCTGTCTCATGCAGAGAGACATGCACAAAGCTATCACAATATTCTGTCCTTATCCAGGATACCCAGTCCCCGAGACTCCCCTGTCTGCAACTCACCCACAGTTTCTCTCAGTCTGAAACACCACCCACAGTCTCCCCCTGTCTGAGACTCTACCCACAGTCTCCCTCTGTCTGAGATGCCACCCACAGTCTCCCCCTGTCTGGGACTCTGCCCACAGTCCTGTCTGTTTGAGACTCTACCCACAGTCTCCCTCTGTCTGAGACACCACTCATAATCTCTCCCTGTCTGAGACCCTACCCACAGCCTTCCCAGTCTGAGACTCCACCCACAGCCTTCTTTACATGTTTTGAATAGTTTTCTTTAGTATCTCCAGGCTAAGCATTCTGCTGCTATATCTCAGAACAGCTGGCTTTACAAGGTTACGTCTCCCCTCTGTCTCTATCCTGGAATAATGAACACTGCTGTCTAAAATAGTGTCTGTGACCTCTGCCTTTACCAACTCCTCTCTACTCCAATCTCTCTCTTTGCTCTGCTAATGCCAGAGTCATATCATCACCATCATTGGCATATTGTATTTGACTACACTGAGACCTCAGTGGAAGGGGTTGGGCTGCACAGGGACCCTGGCTTAGCCCTGGACCTGTTCACCAAAGACTGCTCTTACTGTGGTCATTTAAAGTCTGCCATTTAACTGATGGGGTTTATCACAGGAAATTGTTAGTGACTTCTTCTGTCTCCCATTCCTTGGTCCAAAAATTGTCTCCTGGCAGAATGAGTTCAGGAAGGTTGCTGTATAGCAGACACCGCAATGGAAGGTAGGTTGGAAAAGGCATGATGGAGGAATGGAGATACAGTATGCGTGGTTACAACTAGAATGTTGGTTTTCCTCAGTGAATTGGTGATGTATGTAGGTGTGATGTTAGTGAGGTCAGAAAACCAGGGGATTAGTGTAATAGCTTCCTGAAAAGGCTAGCTCTTTAAAGCGTCTGTTTTTTTTTTCTTTCATTTTTTAGGGATCACCACTGTGCTGACCATGACCACACTGAGCACTATTTCCAGAAAAGCATTGCCCAAGGTCTCCTATATCACTGCCATGGACCTGTTCGTGTCGGTCTGTTTCATCTTTGTCTTCGCAGCACTCATGGAGTACGCCACCCTCAACTATCTCGTAGGGACCAAGAGACCCAACCCCACAAAACGCAAACTCAAACCTGTACGTTCCTAATGACCTGCCGTCTGATTTCTTCAACATGCCCAAGCAGCATATTGTTGTCGAATTATTTCTGTCAGCAAGTGGATTGATAGATCTATACTTGAAGAACGCTTATGAATTGTGAGTGACCAAGTTAACTTTGGTTGGCCTGGGACTGGAAGATTCTGTGGCTGCAGATAGAACATATTCCAGTGTGCAGCTGTGCACACACTTATATGTTGATAAGCACACGTGGATAGACACAGACTGTGGATAGGCACACCCACACATGCACACTCACAGGCATGCACACACATACACCCATTTACTGAAATTAGCTCACTGTCCTTTCAGGCAGCACTTTCCAGATCACAACGTGTAGTCTAAGAAAAAAAATTCCTTATTCCCATCGTCCATTTATTTTTTGACAATTATCTTAATGTAGTGTCCTTTTCTTATTGAAATTCCTACCATTCAAATCAGTTTCTCGTTATTCAGTCTGTCTAGTCTTCTATTAATTTCCTCAACCTATCCCTGCTGTAAGGAGAACATGCAGCTTCTGTATACTATCCACATCACTCAAATTCCTCGTTTCAGTAAATCTCTTCTGCACCTTTTTCTAAAGCACTTCCTAAAGTGTTCTATCTGGAATTCAACAAATTATTGCAGCTGAGAGTAAAGGTAAAGTTGCCATCGTCTTACCAGACCATAAGGCTGCTGTCTCATTAGAGAGTGGTGGGTTAACCTGAGGCAAGGGGATAGGTTGAGAAGGAGAGTCTTTCATGGTAACCTGAAATTGCTAGTACAGAAATTGAAACCACACTTTTGGCATTACTCAACATTGCAAACCAGCTATCCAGCTGTCTGAGCTAACCAGCTCAAGGTGAATGAGTACACTATTTAGGTTTTACATAGGATCCTTGGTTTTATGCTGTATGTGTTTATGTTTTACACTCTGCTAATAACACCAAAGATCCTATAGGCCTTTACAACAAGTTTCTCAGCTTGTGCATCTCATGTATATGATCTCCCAATCTCTCCGTTCCTGTTACCTTTTTAAAATTGTATTCTTTCATTTATATTGCCTCTGCTCATTCTAAGATGCATCACTTCATACTTCTGTATGCTAAATTTAATTTTTTTAGTCTGTTCCTATCCTCCTCACTGTTTACTACAATTTGTAGTTTGTATCGAGCAAATTTGTGCCTTGTACCCCCAAGCCCACGCCATTTAATGTGCATCAAAAAGAGTAACTGAACCTTGTATAGACCCCTGAGGGACATCCCCATACACTTCCATCTTGTGTTAGAAACAGCCTTTCACCATTACTTGAATAAAAGGAGAATGGGTTCTGAAGAAGAGTAATACCAGACTCAAAATGTTAACTCTGTTTCTTCCTCTACAGATGCTGGGTTTCTCCAGCATTCTCTGTGTTTGCTTCACCATTACTTTCTGTTTGTGTCTCTTAGACAAATTTAAGTTCATGCAGCCACTGTGCCTTTGAAATCCTGTGTTTCAATTTTGCTAACAGGTTTATTCTGTGACATTTTCTCAGACATTTATTGAAAATCCACAAAAACAACATGAACCGCAATGCATTTATCAACCATCTGGTGACTTTATTAAAGAACTCAATCATGTTTGTCAAACACTATTTACCCTTAACTAGTCCATTTTCACCATCATATATTAATCTGCAGTTTTCCAGGGAGCAGTTAAGTTTGTCTTTGATTGTTGCCCTTAACAATTTGCCCACCATTCAATATTTGACCTTTTGATCTGTCGTTACCACAAATGTCCCTTCCATTTTTCAACTGGAGGAAGTATCAACGGTCCTCTGGTCCTCTTTTACTGCACACTTATATTTTTCTGCATGGGATGTGGCCACTGCTAGGAAGATTAGCATTTACTGCCTATCCCTAAATACCTTGAGGGGGCAAGGGCGAGCCACCTTCTTGAACAACTGCAGGATGTACAACAATTCTTTTTCAAGGTAGTTTAATAAAACTGAATGGTTTGCTAGGCCATTTCAGAGGGTATTTAAGGGTCAGCCATGTTACTGTGGATTAGGGTCAAGTGGAGGTCTGACTAGATGAAGACACAAGATTTTCTTCCTTAAAGCACCTTGGTGAATCAGATGAGTTTCAATGATAACCCAATGTTTCATGACTACTATCAGTAGCAGCACGATTGATGTCAACCATGGTTGAGTTTATAGCACGTGTACGTCTGAGTTAGAACATTGTGTGATCATCACCCCTGGAGGATCTGACTGTTCCATTCCAGTCTTCCACTCCGTGCAGTATTGTGGGAGTATGTTATTGTGCTGTTCTTTCTGGATGAGATATTAAAGTCCTCTTGCCTTCTCAACTGGATTTGGCAATGTTCTGAGCGAGAGCAGGAGATTTATCCCTGATGTACTGGCCAACAGCTATCCTGTAATCAACAATAATGAAACTAATGATCTAGTTATCATCACATTGGTGGGACCTTGTGTTCAAATTGGCTGTATGACCATAAGTCAAAAAGAAACTTTGGCATATCAAGTGGACATGTAAGACTCTATATTAATGCAAGTCTTTATTGAGTTACTAATCCTGCCTTTTTGATTGCAAATTTATTCAATTCATTCAATTTAAATTCCTGGAATAGCACACAGAGATTCGAGCTTGTGTTTCTGCAACATGAGCCCAGACCCCAGCATTGCTAGAATATTAACATAACCCTTCCCCTAATAGAGTCATAGAATTCCTACAGTTTGGGGGCAGTCTATTTGGTACATTGAGTGTCACCAACCCTCCGAAAAGCATCCCACCCAGCCACAGCCCCCTACCCTATCTCTGGAACCTGCGATTCCCATGGCAAATCCAGCTAACATGCACATCTTTGGACTGTGGGAGGTAACTGCAGCACCTGGAGGAAACCCACGCAGACACAGGGAGAATGTAATTCCACACAGACAGCAGCCTGAGGCTGGAATCAAAACTGGGTCCCTGGCACTGTGAGGCAGCGACGCTAACCACTGCGCCACCGTGCCCCCTAAAACCATCATTAGGAGAGGATTGGACAATGGTGATCACAGTCTCGCCCCCAGGTATGCCCAATCTTCCCTCAGGAGCCCAGGAAAGTGTCTGGATGATAGAGCTCTTCGAATTTGAATGTATTGGATCTTTTAAGTACCTCCTCTTTGTCTGTTTTTGTCCATCAGTTTCTATTTTAATGGCTCCTTTACTGTGACCCAGGCAACATCTTCCTGCCTAGTGACATCAGATGGAAAATATTCATTCAGCACTTCAGGCATCGTCTACCTCCACATTCCCGTCATTCTTTAATGCCATATTCCTTTACTAATTATATGTTTTCAAAAAAATTCAATGTCACCAATCATTCATTCTCATAGGCTTTCTCTGTACTCTTTTCCCCTTTATATTTCTTTTCCCAGTTCTGCCTTCCTGGATCTTGCTTGACCAGTCCACCTTTGTGTGTGAAAAAGTATGGAATATCTCAATAAAAAGGAGTGTGGAAAGGGATTCAGTTGCTGGATCGATGTCAGGACCAACCACATTAAGGATCAGCAAGGCCGCCTATGTGTGGAACCACAGGAGATGGGGGAAATACTAAACAAGTACTTTGCATCAGTGTTTACTGTGGAGAAGGATATGGAAGATAGAGAACATGGGAAAATAAATAGCAACATTTTGAAAAATGCCCATATTACAGAGGAGGAACTGCTGGCCATCTTAAAACACATAAAGGTGGATAAATAAAAACCAAAAGAACTGCAGATGCTGTAAATCAGGAACAAAAACAAAGTTGCTGGAAAAGCTCAGCAGGTCTGGCAGCATCTGTGAAGGAGAAAACAGAGTTAACGTTTCGGGTCCGGTGACCCTTCCTCAGTTCCTCAGAAACTTGAAAGGGTTCAGAAAAGATTTACAAGGATGATGCCAGGCTTGGAGGGTTTGAGTTATAGGAAGAGGCTGAACAGGCTGTGGCAATTTTCCCTAAAGCATCAGAAGCTGAGGGGTGACCATATAAAGGTTTATAAAATCGTTAGGGGCATGGATAGGGTGAATAGACAAGGTCTTCTCCCCAGGTTGGGGAAGCCCAAAACTAGAGGGCATAGGTTTAAGGTGAGCAGGAAAAGGTTTAAAAGAGACCTAAGGGACAATTTTTGCATCCAGAGGGTGGTACGTGTATGGAGTGAGTTGCCAGAGGAAGTAGTGGAGACTAGTACAATTGCAACATTTTAAAGGTATCTGGATGGGTATGTGATAGGAGCAATTTAGAGGGATATGGGCCAAATACTGGCAAATGGGACTAGTTTAGTTTAGGATATCCGTTTGGCATGAACAAGTCGGACAAAAGGTTCTGTTTCCATGCTGTACAGCTCTAAGACTCGATAAGGAAGGGAATGGGGCAGTTTCAGCTAACAGAGCATTAGCGGTTAGAGACTAAATATATAGGATTTCAGGGATAATCATCTTGGGATTACTACTGAGCCACCTAATCATGGGGATGGAGAAAAGCAGATCAGTAAACTGAATGTGTGGCTGAAAGACCAAGGTGGGAAAGAAGGAATTAATTTCAAAGGATGACTGTTGTAATTGGATAATTACTACCAGGACTAGACAAGGGCACAGTCTGAGCAGAGACGATAAGTAGAGCAGTAGTTACGATTTGTAAGAATTGGAGGAGAGGACGGATTTTTGTAAAGTAACATCACCATGAAGTTAATATAAATATGAGATAGGATTGATGGTCAGGTAATGGAAAAGAATTTAACATAGGATTTCAGGGAACAAGCAGAACTATGGAACATAAATAGACTTCAAATTATCAAATGTGTGGAACAATTAGTAAGCAACAAAATAAATTGCATTGCCTTGGAAACAAAACAGGAGAACTCAAGGCAATAATTCTCAGTGAAGAGCCAGATGTCCTCATGAATCATGGTTGCATAAAAAGCAGGAATGGTTATTCAATATTGCAGCATCTAACGTTTAGAAAGCTTAGCGAAAGGG